CATTCTGTTGCCTCATAATATATTCCACTAATTCTTTCTTCCATCTTTTAAAGATAAATTGTTGTTTAGTCACACTCTCGGGACCTTGTACTTAGGATTTTAGATAAAGACCACACTAAGGCTTTTGGGGAACTCTGTATTATTCTCTAACAGAAGTCTAAACAGGACCTTGATTCATGATTTTATTTTCATTGTTATTCCCTTCTGTGAATATTAGTAAATGTTAATTCTTTAGTTGAAACATATAAGCACATATACACTCTCAAACACACACACACACACACACACACACACGCACACAAGAGTTTTTCTTTGCAGAACCTTACATGTAGCCAGAGGACAAATAAAGGAAACTTTATCTTCTCATAATTCAAGGAGGCTATTGTCCTTACAGATATCAGCACCATAGGTACTATACTTGATGGGGCTGGTGAAGTATTTCCCTTCATCCACAATACAATGTGCAAAATGGCCTTCTCAATGTTTTGCAGCAGTAAATTACAATGTAATGAAAATGACCAAAAATCACTTTTTCCCCATATTTTGAGAATGCTGTGGAAATAATACATTTCAATGAACTAGAATTTTTTTATTTGTTTATTTTATTGTTGTTTTAGGAGGCCTTGGGGGGTGGGAGAAGGAAGGGATATCATTCTAGTAAAACAAAGCAGGATCACAGTTGTTTGTATCTTTTTTTTAAGTCACAAGGGAAAAATACAAGACAAATGACTTTTCTCAAGGGCTGTTCTAGTTCACTTTTATGTCCTTTTTCTTGTGTGTCTTTTTTCTCTGGGATTACATGTTCATAATAAATGAATAAAATACGAATAAAAGACTCTTTAAACAATCTGCCTTTTGAGAGTCACACGAAGTTTCCTGGAATAGCATGTCACCTAATTACACTATAGTTATCTTCATAGATGTTCTCATGAATTCAGTTAGACCAGTATTTTCATTAAATGGACACCAATTTCCCCTTTTTTTTTTTCCATCCCAAGTTCTTCATGTCTGGAGTTGAAGCCCTTCTTACCCAAGACTGGCTATAACACAGGTCTAGGACGATGGAAGGCTAATAAAGGAGCAAAAAGGAAGTTGGGTACAGTTGAATAATATATAAAGAGAATGTGTACCAGTAGGAGAATTTGCTAAGGAAGTGAATCAAGTGATGCTGAGAAACCATAGGACTATCAAGTGAAAAGCCCAACCATGCTTTATTCACCACGCTCTGTATTTTAGCATAATGAAGTCTGATGGGGTGACTGGCAAAAGATTGCCTGTGGTGAATTTCTAGGGTATAGATAGGTTTTGATTTTCATCGATGGAGGGAGAATATTTACATTGAGGAGATTACAGACACATTTGAAGATTTTGAGTTGAGATCTCATGATATAGGCAGAGATTGGTGAATGGAGAAAGAGGTAGACTAGTTACATAACAAGAAAGACAGGTAACCAATGACCAGTTGACTTGCTCCACTGGCATCTATAATATGTCATAAGTTGGAGTGTATCCAGAAGAGGGTTACCATCGGTGAAAAGAATGGAGATCATTCTATATAAATAATAATTATAACGACAACAACAATAATAGCTAGCATCTATATAATGCTTTGGGCAGCTAGGTGGTGCAGTGGATAGAGTGCTGGGCCTGGAATCAGGAAGCCGCATCTTCCTGAGTTCAAATCTGGCCTCAGATATTTACTCACTGTGTGACCTTGGGCAAGTCACTTAACTCTTTTTACCTCAGTTTCCTCATTCGCAAAATGAGCTGGAGAAGGAAATAGCAAACTACTCCAGTATCTTTGTCAAGAATAACCCAAATGGGGTCACAAAGAGTTGGACGTGACTGAACAACAACATATAATGCTTTAAGGTTTACAAAGTGCTTTTTATACATTACATCATTTGATCCTCACAAAAATTCTGTGAGATGGGTGCTATTATTCTCCTCATTTTACCCATGAGGAAATGGAGGCTGAGAGACATCAGTTGACTAGTCCAAGGTCACACAGTTAGTAAGTATTTCAGGCAGAATTTGAACTCAGGTATTTTTGACCCAAGGAATTTGTGGAAGAGTAGACTTAAGAGGGGATGTGATTAGTTAGTAGTCTTTATGTATCTGGGGAGCTGTCATGCACTATAGAGTTTAGAATTGTTTTGCTTGGTTCCATAAAGTAGAAGTTACATACAAACCAATTTCATTTCATTGTAAAGAAAAGCTTCCCAATATTTATAGCTGTCCAGAAGTACAACAGACTGCCTCAGGAAGTAGGAATTTCTCCATTACTGGTGATTTTCAAATGGAAGTTAGATGACTATTTGTCAGAGATATAATAAAGGAGATCCTTAGTCAGGTAAGGGTTAGAATAGATGACCTGTGAAATCCCTTCAGGATCTGAAATTGTAAGATACTGTGATATAGTAAGCTCTTAGATATCTGTTTATAGAACTGGATGTAATTTAAAAGATAAAAATTTGATTTTTTCCCTACTTTTTCCACTGTTTATTTCCTCCATTCTTCTCAAGCCTATTTATTATGACTCAGAAACCAGACTTGGAGTTTTTCTATTGAATGTGAACAATAGCACTTGGCCCTGATCCCCCGGTAGCCTTGGAAATAAATCACTGAGCAGAGCAGCTATGTTCGTGTGCCCCAGAGGCAGAACAGCCCAGGGTTATGTTTCCTACCTCCCCAAAACATTGTGCATCAGTAAAATGTCTAAATTTGCCACCATGGGTTGCTTAGCCCACAAGTCTTAGCATTGCAGTCCTGGGGACACTTCGGTAGTAGGAACCAGGAACTAAGGAGAGGGAGCAAGCCAGTGGTTCAAGCATCAGGTTGCCAAGAGAGGAAGAAGTTAGTTTTTTAAGTTCATAGGTTTCAAGACCTAAGAACATTTTGTGCTAAGACTTTTGTTGACTGGTAAAAATTTCCTTTATGCTAGAACTAGTTCAAGAATCAGTGATGGGGTAACATATGGCTAGGAGTCTGGAGACTAAGGTTATAGTCCCATCTTGTCTCATTCACTGAGCTGTGTGACCTTGGGAAAGTCACTTATCCTTCCACTTGGCCTCACTTTCCTCACCTGTAAAATGAGGAATTTGGATTATATGACCTCTTAGGTTCCTTTCTAAAGGTCTGTGATTTTTAATATCTTCCCCACTCATCTAATTTACTGGGTGGTCATATTGATAAAATGATATAACAAATGTGAAAATGCCTGATGAAATAAGAAAGGACCACATAGAAACCACCACTACCACCACCACAACATGGAATCATAGAATCTCACCAATGGAAAGTACCTCAATGGTCATATGGTCCAAAGTATATCTGAAAAAGGATCCCTTTTATAACATACAAGACGTGCCTTTACTTTAAAATTTCAAGTAAAGAGACCCTGCTGTCTATGAAGGCAGCCCTTTTGAATGGCTCTAGTTCTTACTAAGTTTTTCCGTAAGGAAAACCCCAAATTATTTCTTTGTAACTTCCAGCCTTTGATCATAGCTCAGCTCTGTGGAGTGAAGCAAAACTTGAATTCTTCATCCACATGGTAGCTTTTCAAGGACTTGAAAAGAGCAATCTTACATCTTTAAGGTTTTTTCTCTAGTCTGAACACTTCCAGTTACTTCCAAAGTTTCCCATATGGCATTAATCCCAAGCCTTTCAATATCCTGGTTATCCACCTCTGGCTACTTTCTAGTTTATCAATGTCTTTCCTAAAATGCAAAACTCAGAATGGAGTACAGTGTGGCCCAACCAGGGCAAGAACTCCATGGTCTTGGTTCCATTCCTCTCTTAATATAGGGTAAAATTGCATTCTGTTGCCTCAAATATATCCCACTAACCTGAATCTTTTTTATCTTTGATTTTTTAAAAAAAAATTATATTGAAATATTTTATTTTTTTCAATTACATGTAAAACAATTTTTACATTTTTTTTTTACAATTTTGAGTTCCAGATTCTCTCACCCTCCCTCCCTACTCCCCTCATTGAGAAGACAAGCAATTTGATAAAGGTTATACATGTCCCTCACATCTTTTTGAAATGAATTATTGCTTAGTCAAACTTCGCTCACTGGGTACTTATGTTGGATTTTTCTTTTATCCCAATTAGACTACACCTTATTAAATTAGGCCAAATAGTCTCAAGATCTTTTTGGATCTTGATTGTCACCCAGAGTGATAGCTATCCTGTCCAGCTTTGTGTCATTTGCAAGTATGATAAAGATGCCATCTATATCTTTCACCAATTGATAAAAAAATGTTCAATAGCACAGGGCCAAGCATAGATCCACTATGCACTCTGCTGGAGACCTCCTTTCAAGTTGACATCAACCAAGGCTACCAGCCATTCAACCCCTTCCACATTCCAGGGAAGGAGCAAAAACAAAACAAAACAAAACAAAACTCTTTCGTGAGTCGCCTTGAAGTATTGGAGTATTAAAGTAAATAAGAAAATGAGGTCAAGACTCCCAGAATTTTTTAGTTTTTATATCAACCTGACCCCGATGGAACTTATAGTTTCTCAGAGCAAACGAGCAGCATTCTTGATGCTCCAACTAGATCACATGATCCATCACCAGAGAACTTTCTGACCTGCTGTTTGTTTTTCTTTCAGTTACTACTAAAACCAAAGGTTATCCTAGTGGCCACTGATGAAATCAAATGCCATGGAATCTTTGCAATAACTTCTGGATCTCTTTTTCTCTTTCCAGTAGCTAGTGTTGGCATGATGTCAAGAAGAGACTACTTTGGCTCTATTTTGTTCTTTTAAAAAAAAATCTGACTTTGGAACAAATACAATATCCTTTTGGTCTCTCATTCCAATTCTTTACATTTCATTTCAAAGTATCAGTGATAACCTCTCTACCCACCTCCTCCAGAATTCCCCTTGGAGCACAGCATAAGCTTTACCAGGTAAACTGCAGTTTAATTAATTCTGAAGGCAAAACAAAGGCTTTTAAAACAACAACAAAGGATGAGGGCAACAAACACACCTGTAATGCTGTGACAGCTCTGAAGAAAGCAGGCACAGGCTGGCATTTCCGCGCCTCCACTAAGATGACCAGTCCCAGATCCCGCACCTCCTTCCTGTAAAAAGAAAAGCAGGTTAACTTTTAAATGGTACATTTAAAATTTCTTAGCAAGAAAGGTTATTGCTAACATTTCAATAAGACTAAAGTGATCTCTAAGGTCATTTGTGGCTCTAAAACTTGGTGATTCTACTGATTTCTAGATACTCAAAATCTCCTTTCGTCCCTTTCTTTTCCCAAGAAATGAAATTATATTCAAATTAAAATTATTATTCAGGTTTAATCAGTTAATTTTGTCAAGTAGCTGATTCTAGGGCAAGCTGAGACCTTGTATTACATTGATGATTATTAACAACATTGCTATGGTTACTCTTTAAAAAATCTTATACAAAGCAGAAAATATACTTAGCACTGTCAAATAAATTAAATATGAAACAAAAAAGCAAAGACTTGTCTTTGGGTTTTTCAAAACAAATAATATATTAACTGAGATAACACATGTAAAGCATTTTGCAAACATTAATACACTGTTTAATGTTAGCTATATTATTATCAGCATTAATCAAGAAGTATTTAATAAGAGCTTAGTATGTGCCATGCATTATTATTTACTATTGGACAAAAAAGTTTATCTTGGCAGTGCTGAGAAAGAAGATCTTAGCAAGACCTAACCTTTACTCACTGATTTTTCCAGAGGTAAGGAAGATAATAGAAAATAATGCTCTGAGAGATAAGACCTTGGGGACAAGGGAGATCAACTCTCATAGCTGGTACAAACCTATATGAGGGTTTCTTAACTACCTCTCTAATGGGTTCCTAGAGTTTGGGGGGTTGGGTTGGCTAGCCTTCTTGTCTTTCTCTCTTTTTTTATTGCTGCCTCTATTCCTTGACTGATCTCCTAACTATCCTTTCATCTAGATTTTCCTGGCCATGCATCCTGCATGGATGTTCCTTATCTTCCCCTTAGTTCATCTGAGACAGAGTTTGAGTTTTTCAAAAAGAACTTTGTAACAACTCAGGAAAATCTGACACAAAAATGTAACAAAGATCTTTGGATAAGATTCCTCTGCTCTGGAACTTGTCAATATTTTACTCCGTTAAGTATTTTTTAAAATATTACATTTTTATGTCAGATTTTTTTTTGAGTCAGCTAGTACATTTTAGATGCTGAAACTTAGATTTATAAAATGTTAATTTTCTGAGGAGACTCCTTTAGATCTAACTGATGAAACTATTATTTTTATAATTATGATATTTTACTGCATTAATAATAGGCATAAAATGATCAATAGGAATCAAAAGTTTTATGCAACTGCTAAAAATAAGCCATATTTTTTAGTTGCATTAATAAAAGCAGAGTATCCAGATCCAGAAGGCTGGGAAAGAGGTTTGCTACTCTTGGGGCTTGTTGAACCAAATCTTGGATACTGTATTCAATTTTTGTTGCTAAATTTAAAAAATGGACATTGACCAATAAGAGTTTGTCCAAAGAAGTAGGGTCAGTATGGTGAAGAGTGGAGAAAATAATATGTTAGGAGAAATAATGGAAAGATATGAAATTGTTTAGTAGAAAGTGAGCTCCTTGTAGGCTGGGAGAACTTTATTTTTGTCTTTGTATCTTCAGCACCTAACACAGTACCTAGAAAATAGTAGGTACCATATAAGTATGTGTGGAAACGAACTAAATTAGATAAGACGAGAGTTATGTTCAAACTGACCACTGTTTTAAAAAATGTGAAACTCTGACTGTAAAAACAATGCAACTCGACAATTATTTATTAAGAGCCTATTGTGGGAGTGTGTTCTGTGATGTGGGTAGAAATTGGAAGTAGAACAACTTTTTATCAATTGTTGTTGTTCAGTTGTTCAGTTCTGTCCTCTTGACTCTTTGTGACCCTGTGGACCATGTCTGTATGTAGCATGCCAGTACTGTCCTTGGAGTTTTCTTGGCAAAGATACCTGGAGTGGTTTACCATTTCCTTCTCCAGTGGTTTAAGAGGTTAAGTGACTTGCCCAGGGTTATACATCTATTAAGTGTCTGGGGCTGGATTTGAACTCAGGTCTTCCTGACTCCAGGCCCAGTGCTTTATCCAATGAGCCTCCTTTTAATAATTAGAGTTGTCCAATAACAGAAGAGGCACAGTGAGCACACTCGCCTTCACTTGAAGTCTGTGAACAATGATTGGATGGCCGTACTTTTGTGATGCTGCAAAAGGATTCTTGATTGAGATGAAAGACTGGGGAACTTCTCTGATTTTATGTCATATCAGCAAGCCAGCAAGTGACATTTTAAAGACAGCAAGGATATTTGAAAGAAAATGTATCAGAACATTTCTCTATTTAAAAGGAAAAATGGAAATTAAGTCTTCAGATTATAGTTTCTCATACTAGAGACATCTCTTCACCAATTACCTAACAGGCATCTTTTCAGCTGGGGAATAAACAATTTCTTTTGTTAGTTTTAGAGAAGCTGGATGTTTTGGCGGCCTGTTCTGAGTAATGGAAACATTTTTTAATGTCATTTTGGTAATGAGAGTTGTGAATTCAATAAAAGTATCAATTGTATAAAGACTTCAGCCTTTGATTCACTAATTAATTTTGCAGAAATGCAGCCATGTTACAATGTTCTGGAAGTCACATGCTTTATTCCACTTTTGAAAGAAAGAGGCAGTTGAGCCTAAAACATCAAAACCACTGCTAAAATCCATACCTACTTAGCCCTGTGTCTATAGCTACATGTCTATGTCCGTACCTATAGGAACAGAAGCTAGAGTTATCCCAAAGTGGAACGGCTTCCCTCACAAGAGAATGGGTTTCATCCTAATAGAAGTCCTCCAGCATGATCAATTGTTTGCTATTTTGTAGAGGGAGTTCTTATTCAGGTATGGGTTGTACTTGGTTGCCTCTGAAGTCTGTTCCAACTCAGATATTACATGAAACTATTGCAATGCTTCTAGAGGAAGATGCCTAGGATGGTAAAATATGTGGAAACCATGTCATATAAGGACTGCTTGAAGAAACTAGATGGAAGTTTTTCCTTCTGGAGAAGGGAAGACTTTGAAAAGACAGGAAGTTATCTTTGAATATTTGAAGAACTGCCTTTTGATGGAGATATTAAAGTTATTCTGTGTAAATCCATTCATTGTATGTAAATCATTGTTCCTAGAACAAAGACCCATGAGTAGAAATGGGAGGCATACAGACTTCAGCTTATTTTGCCGATAGAACTGCTAACAGATCAATCTTTAAGCAGCTTGGGCTTTTTTTTGTTTGTTTGCTTTTGTCCAGATCTGTTATTTCATTTCTATAGGGAGGTCCTGGTGAAGAATTTCCTTTCCTGATCCAGACAGTCATATGCTCTTCAACTTACATCATTAGAAACTGATCTAGGGATATGGAAAAGTTAGGTGACTTGGCCAGGGTCACAAAGTAGTATTTGTTGGAGTAGAGCCTTGAACCCAGGTCTTTCTGATAATGAATGAGGCCAGCTTTCTATCCACAATACCATGTTGATGGTCAGGCAGCCAACTTGTCATAACTATAAGGTTATACTAAATGAAAATTAAGATTCCATCTAATTAAAAAAATTTAAATACGTGTACTTGTAGTTTATGCACTTGTGGAAAGTCTCCCAGAGATCATTTGCTAAGACCATCTTAGAAATGGCATGCATTTAAAAGAATCTTCTCTTGTGTTTCTCCATACTCTAACATGTTAGACTCTCCCATGGCCATTTAACAGTGTTTTTTTAGTTAAGAAAAGCTTTTAACCAAACTATAGATCAAATGCTTGACAGAAAGATCCTGGTTTTAACTATAAGGAAACTTTTTGTATACTCCCAAGAAAATAAATTTAAAGTGTTTTGAAAAGGACCTAAGAGAGGGAGAAAGAAGAAAAAAAAACTTGGCATCTTAGAAAAGATGAGATCTGGAAGAATGCCCTAGAAACCCATGGAGCAATCTGGCATAAAGACTAGAAGATTTAGTAAAAAGTATGTAAACAAAGGAGATCCAAACATGTGAAGTAATTTTGCAATAGCAGTCTCAATACAATAAATCAGTTAATCAACAAGCATTTATTAGGCATCTAATACATGTCAGACACTGTTCTAGGTGCTGGGTATTCAAGAGTAAAACAATCTAGATGGACAGGGTTTAGAACAACATTGAGCAGGAATTCACAGTCACAGGAACTGGCTTTGATTCTTATTCTTTGTGTCGTTTTGAGCAAATCACTTAAATTCTCAGCCTTGGTTTCCCTTATCTGTAAAATGAGGGAGTTGTGCTTTCTAATGTTCCTTGTAGTTCTAGATCCTATGATCCTAGAAACAAGGAATTGTCTACATGACCACTGACCCTAACCTGATTCATAACACTCTTGAGAGAGTGACAAAATGATATCTTGACTCATATCAAGTCTATATAATACCTAGGAACAAGAGAGAAAAGACTCATGACTATTTGGCTTCCATCCAAACTGAGATGGAAAGGACCTGAAAGTCAGCCAAAAATTGGATGGTCTACCAGTGAGTTGGGAAAATAAAAAGTATGTTAGGATTCTGCCATAAAAACAAGTACTAAAGAGATATGAATGGAAACCCAAGATCTTTTATCTAGGGAAGTGTATATGGCTGACCTTCATGCATGTATATATACATAAGTGTGTGTATATATCTATATATGATATAGATATATACACACATATATAAACATGTCAGCCATGTATATATTGCATGGATAAGAATCATTAATAATCATCATTTTGGTTTTTGGCCAACGGGCACCAAGATTTATTTTGAAAGTCATTGGACCCAAAGCTGAGGTATTCAAGGGGTGGATCAAAGCTTCTTATTGGTCTAAAATCTAAAGTCCTTATAATAAACTTAAAATATCTTTATTATACTGAGACCCCTTGCACCAAACACTGTCTAAAACAAGTGGGCCATTGTAGAGGGTCTGGAATTTTGTTTTAATTATGCAGGTGGAGTCCATTTTTAAACAGATTGACAGGGTATCAAATGGGTCAGGCACACAATAATACTCCTTCCCACAAGAATTGGCCTCTCTAGTATCTCTCTCTCATGCATAGGTTGGCTCCAATTGTCTCAATTGAGAAATAATTACTGATTCAGCACCAGCTAGCTGCTTGGCACTGTGCTGGGGGCACTGTAAGATACACAGAAGTATGAGGTATAGCTCCTTGTCTTAAGGAACTTATAAACTAATTGGGGAGGCAAAACTAATACATGAAATGGGAAAGAAGGATGTATGCATTCACAGATTTATAAACAACATTCATATCTTTCTTTATATATGGAAATACTTATGTTTGTTAAGGTCTAAGTTCATAAGAAAAAATAAATTTAAAACTATGTGGTAGTAAACACATTAAGAGTTAAGATAAAAGAGATCATGAGGAACAAGAGTAGTCAAGGCAGGCTTCTCAAAAGAGGTGATATTGGAGCAGAGTCTTGAAGGATGGGAAGAATTTAGAAAGATAAAAGAGGGGGAAGTGAGAGAAGAAAACTGCAAATCTCTGATGGCAGGAATGAGTATGTCATGTTTGGCTTATTATTGCCTAGGATGATGATAGTGATGATGATTCTTTTTTTCATCTTCTTTTTAAGAAGAAGCATATTTATTTGACCAGATTCTTTTTAAAAATTTAATATATTTTATTTTTTCCACAATTCCACGTTAAACTGTTTCATGTGTTAGTTTTGTCTCCCCAGCTAGTTTGTGCCAGAAGGTAGCAGGAAATAAGGTTGAGGCCAGATTATGGAAGGCCTTGAATACCAATAGTAACTTCCTTTTCTATTGTGCCTGGTCCAAATGTATCCAGACACATGAGTGTATGGCAGCATCTCTGTATTTAAACCAGGGAATTACATGGATTTTATTAGAAGACAAGGCTAAAAGGTTGAATCAACCCAACTACTGATCATGATTTTGAATGAAATTTGCATTTTATTATGCCTGGAAAGGAAGGAAAACTCCATAAATAAACAAAAGGCTTTCTCAGACCATGCCATCACATCTTAATCTGAAAGCAGAAAAGTAAGCTGGCTCTGAAGTGAGGCCTGACCTGGGGATGCTGTAGAGGTACATCAAAAGGCGGGTGAGCTCACTGCTTGAAGACTGCTCCTTTGACCAGAAAGCACTTCTGGTGCACACCTGTACCACTGCCCTCCCATTACGGTCTCTGGTCCCTGCAAAAACAAAGAGCCACCTTTGAGAAACCTGTGTAACAGGTGACAAGGAAATGGAGAGACGCAGTGTTATTCTGGCCTGGATACTGTTCTTGGCTTTGCGTGAGATGTAGTGAGCAACAACAGCAGGGAGCTAATCAGTCGGAATGTAAATACGAGCGTTTGTAAAATAGTTTTGATAACATCTAATGTGTGTGGCTTGGCTTGGACTGAAGAGACTGGCATGCTTTAGAAGGTCCTTGTGGGGATAGGAATTTGGATGTAACTTACCAGGGATGGAAATGATTCCTGACTGAAGTAATTCCTGGTTGATTTCAAGTAACTGGTTGGGCAGCTTGTGATAGAAGTCTCCTGTGTTTGTAGACAATGGTTCACTCTCACAGGGCAGCGATTCAGGGGAAACGTTTGAAAATGTGTCGGACTCATGGCTTTGGAAGCTGTTATTTGCATCTCTTACAGTTGTACTCTGAAGAACATCTGGTCAAATGAGAGAGAGGTGGTTGAAAGTTTTTTCTTTCTGGTTAAAGGCTTTTACAATGGGTACAAGTTAAAAAACATGCTCAAGAAAATAGAGATTTACAGATGGTTCTTTGGCCAGCGTCATACCATGCTGCTGCACTCCACGTACCACCTCTCATAGGGCAGGTCCAGATCTTATTTCTCACTAGTGAGAATTCATGCTACCTGTCCTGACCTTGACTCACCATGCTATGCCATGTCACTGCAGCTACCTGCCCTGTTTCCTCTTCTAGTTCTGGGAACAGTCATCAAATCAATTCTATTGGTAGTCAATTGTCCTGTGACTCAACTCACTATCTCATTTCCTAGACCAAAATACTTCCTTTGCAACCACTCCACTGAACCTGCTGCCTTCCTCTATTAGAACACAAGCTCATTGAGGGTGGAGATTGCTGTCTTGTTTTATATTTTTGTATCCCCACTGCTTAGCACTGTTTATGGCACATAGTAAATGCTTAATTAATGTTTTTTTTTTTATTCATTATGACAATCTGCCCCAAATTAAGTTTGCTTAATTAGATGTTCCTAAAAAATTGGGTATAAATAAAAATTTAAAAGCATAGACTATTTTAAGTGTACCAGGAAACTCATTGCTTAAAAAAAACAAACAAACCCTACAGTAAAACATTTTGCAAAGTGAAGACTCTTTTTTAATATGAATAATCACTCTCTAATCTATTTTCAGGTTTTTATATAACTGACATTTATAAACATATAGCACTTTACAGTTCACAAAATATTGTCACATTTGAGCTAATGTTTTCTTGAATTAAAATTTTATTTAAATTCAATAAATTGTAAGTGTGGAACACTCTCCCAGATGCTGGCAGAGATACAAGGATGAATTAAGACATGGTCCCTCCTCTCAAATTACTTAGAATTTTGTAAGGGAGATAAAATCTTTAAACAAAATATATGTCATACAATGAACATAATAAGTGCATAACACATTCAACCAATAAGTCCACGCATATTTCCACAACTTTTCCTAGAACACTTTGATCTCTCCCTTGCCCCTCTTCATTCTCTAACTTGTATTATGCTTATCTATACATGTACCAAATTTCCAAGTGGAGTATAAACATCCTTAGGAGAGGATTTCATTTTTGACCTTTTATGCTTTGTAGAACCTAAGTAAGGTCTGATTGGGAAGATCATTGAATACCATATGGAGAAGATGGCCTTTGACTTGATTAGGGAAGGATGGGTAGAATTTCAACAGATCGAGATATACATGGCAGGGACAGGGTGCTCCAGACATAGGTAAATTCATCTGTGAAGCCTGGGAACTGGGGAAACATAGGGCATGTTTGAGGCACAATGGATGGTAGAATCTGAGAGGACAGAAAGTGGGGTTGGAAGGAGGTATGTAAGATAATGCTTGCGCTAGATTGTAGAAGGCCTTGGATTCCAGGATGAAGGAAGTGGACGTTCTTCAATAAGCAGTTAAAGGGTTTTGAGTAGAGAAGGGACATTATCAGATCTGTGCAGAAAGCTTAGCCTGGAAATGTTGTCCAGTATTAATTGGGGGTTGGGAGGAGGAGAATAGTGAACCTGAAACTGGAGTTGGAAAGATCTGGGCAATAAATCACTAGGGTGGTGGTGGTAGGAAGAGAGAGAAAAGTAACCTATCAAGAAATATATTAAATATAAATATGTAGATATGTACATATATTTATATAAAATTAGGATAAAAATCAGGAAATATATTAAATATAAATATGTAGATATGTACATGTATTTATATAAAATTAGGATAAAAATCAGGAAATCTATTAAACATAAATATATGTACATATTTTTATATAAAATTAGAATAAATTAGCTAGAAATGGAACTATGCCCGAACAATGACACACAATGTCCTACGTAATAGAGAAAGTTGTATAAAGACTTTGTTATTAAAGATTCGTAGACATAGAGCTAGAATTGATGCCAGAGGCCATCTAGTCCACCTCTCCTCTTCTTACAGATGTGGACAGTGATGCCCAGGGAGGTGAAAAGACTCGTCAAAGGTCACACTGCTAACAAGCACTCAAAGGCTGGATTCAAACCCCGGTCTTCTGACTTAACCCTTTTTGCCTCCATTTCCTCATCTATAACATGAGCCGGAAAAGGAAATGGCAAACCACTCCCGTATCTCTGCCAAGAAAACCCCAAACAGGGTCACGAAGAGTCCGATATGACTTGAAAAATAATTGAGCAACAACAACTTCTGATTCTAGAGTCAAAGTTCTTTTCCCACTCTACCACAATTCAACAAAATTTGCCAAGTGCCTATTTGGTACAATTTCCCTTTATTTTTCCTTTTCTGAAGTGCCATGGCAAGAGAAAATAATTTTATAAATTACTGGCTTAACTGAGTTACCAATGATCCAAGGAGAGATCATCACATGAAGAATGATGCAGGTTACAGCGGTAGAAAGAGGAATGAAAGAACCCATGCAAAGGCAAACTCTGCTACTAACCACCCACATGGTCTTGGACAAGTCCCTTCACCTCTCCAGACCTCATTTTCCTCATCTGTATAATGAGGGAATTAGACTCTACAATCTGTGAAATCCTACTATCTCTGCATTCTATAGTTCTTGTGACTATAACACTTTTTAACTAGAGCCAACTCTAGTAGGGAACTGGTCTCCACCAAGGAGTGAAAATCAAAGGTAACCATCCCAACACTCAACAGAGCATAGCTCAAGATCCTGCCTCTCATCATCAGCATCCTTGAGAGGAAGTGCTACGTGATAGCAGTGAGCTTCATTTAGTAGCTGTAGGTTGGATTTGCTGCTTTTGTTAAAAGTTATCCTTAGCCTCTGAGTTACTTCAGACCTGGCTTATGGGTGAGCGAATACATTGCTCACATACTTTTTCATTCATAAGGAAATTAGAAGGAAAGTAGATAATCCTCATTTGGGCCTTTCCCCATCTAACTCCCATCTCTTTGTGTGATCACTTTTTGGTTTGGCCCCTCAGAAAGCACACATTGGCAGACTAAATGCAGGGGAAGCAGAGTTTCAGTGAGGGGGCAGACACTTGTTAATAGACATTGTTCTGTACACCGATAGCATCACCCGGGTGAGACATTTTAGAAATAGTGGGCTGACTTTAGAAATAGTAGACTGACAAAAGGTCCCCAACCCAGGGAGTGAGAAAGTTCATGAAGACTTAATTAACATTCCCAAGAACAATGGTATTTACTTATATGTATGGTTAATGTTAAGTAGACTGCAAGATACCAGAAAATGGCATTCTGATTTCAGTGATTCATGCATGTATCAGCATTATCCTGCCTGAGGTAATTGAGGTCTTTGGGTCAGAGATAAGTAAATAGTAGATTCCCAGAATGGATTAGTAAGATAATGTATTGTTGTTGTTCTGTCCTTTCAGTCCTGTCTGACTCTTCATAACTCCATTTGGGGTTTTCTTGGCCAAGATTCTAGAGTGGTTTGCCATTTCCTTCTCTAGCTCACTTTACAGGTGAGGATACCGAGGCAAACAAGGTTAAGTGGCTTGTCCAGGGTCACATAGCTAGTAAATATCTGAGGCTGGATTTGAACTCGAATCTTCCTGACTCCAGGCCTGCCACTCTATCCACTGTGCCATCTCTAAATTAATTAGCTCCAAACTAATAGAGAGGGGGGAACCTTCGAAAGTTAACTGTTTTTTTCTTTTGGAATAGAGCATATGGATTGTGTATGCCCCAAGGAAGTCAATGACAGAAAGAGAGATCCTATATATACTAAAATATCCATACCAGAACTTTTTTGTTGTATCAAAAAAATAGAAACAGAGTGAGTACCCGTCTCTCAGACAATGGATGAACAAATTCTGGTATGTGAATGAATGGTATGTTATTTTGCTATAAGAAATGATGAATGTGAGGAGTCATGGGAAATGCGAGAAGAAGGGCAGTTTGATACGATGGAAAGAATAACAAATCTATAGTCAGAAGGTCTGAGTTTAAATCTACTTACTACCGAGATGACCTTGAACAAGTCATTTAACTTCTCTGGGTTTCAGTTTCTTTATCTGCAAAATAATGGACTTGGAATAGATGTAGTAGGGGAGTCGGGATCTGCAAATATTCGTAGTATTTCCCCAAAGGGTTGTTGTAAGGAAAGTGGGGGAAAGGGAAGAGGAGGAAAGGGAAGGGAAGAAGCATTTGTTAAGTACCTACTATGTGTCAGGCATTTTGCTAGGCACTTAAAAACATTATCTCATTTGGACATTTGGATGCTTTTCAAACTCTTAAATAAAATGAGTTATTGCTGTTGTTGTTAGCTCCGGGTAAAAAACAAATAGCAGAAGGAGGGGATGTTAAACTCTTTAAAAGTAAAGTAAAGTAAAGCTTTCTTCTGACTGGAGAGGATCTGTTTTGAGGAATTTATGTTTTTATTGTGTGGCTCCTTTTTGCTTCTGCAATGCCGAGGGATCTATTGCCTAAAAGAGGCAGCTAGGTGGCTCAATGGATGGAGCACTAGACTTAGAGTCAAGAAGACCTGAGTTCAAGCCCAGACTCAGACACCACTAGCTGTATAACCTTGGGCAAGTCACTTAACCTCTGTTTGCCTTAATCAACTATAGAAGGAAATGACAAACAACAGCAGAAAGCCCATGGACAGTAAGTTCCATGGGCTCATGAAGAATTGGGTATGACTGAACAACAACAAATAGCCTAAAACAGACTGACTCTGTCTCCTGTAATTGCCTAACTTTTAGACAACAGAAGGAAGCAGCCAAGTAAAACCCCAGGAGACTGGCAAGGTCCAGGTGGGATTTGTACCTAGATAAGGGTGAATTAAAAAGGAAAATTCTAATCAAAGTCTGAAGATAATGGCAGGGTTGGACTAAATTATATTTTCGATTGCTAAGTCAGCTACTGCTTAGGACTTGTCTTTAATACTTTTTTTTTTTGCTTTTTTTTGGTGAGGCACTTGGGGTTAAGTGACTTGCCCAGG